TTTTGTGATCACCATTGTTTCCTGTGATAAGTTATTTCAAATGCATTTGTTGCTGCAGAGCAATGCAGGAGTAGTTAATGGGGATAATGACGGGAAGAGTAGCTGGAGTGCATCTCATAACAAAAACTTCACTGGAAATCACATACATGATGCATCTCAAAGAGGGTATGCTTGCTGCTATTTCCTTAAGCAACCTCATCATGTAATTGGGGAAATTTTTGATGAAGAATTTTTGTTGAGTCTCTGCCTTCAAATTTCAGCAGGTTTAACCAGAAGCAATTTCATCATCGATCAAATGCACAAGGAAGCTTTAAGTCGAATAATGGAAATGGAGGAAAAGGTGAATATTTTTATGATTACCTTGATCAACTAATTAACACTATTATCAGCAATGGTGGATTTCTGCCTTAACTGCCATATTCTAAATTTGTGAGGGATGGCGGTTATGGTGAGCCATGGCAGCTGCTATGGCGGGATTTCAGCCTGCCGCCATTTTCTGCCATCCAGCATTGATAACACTGCTGATTACTAGAGAAAATCTGAGATTTCTAGATATTTACTACTGATAGTATTATAGTATCCACAAATTTCTGATTTCTGCAAGCTTTCGGTTTGACAATCATTTCCTACAAATATGTATTCAACTTTTTCCCCAAATTTGTTTTGTGTTATTCAGGGAAGAAAGGTAACGGACTGAAGAATTTTAACTCATGCAGCCCCTTCAACCATGTACAACCGAGCAAAAAGAGGTAATTCTGGTTGATTATCTTATTTTTAGAGTTATTGAACACAAAATCTCTAGGCTACTTTTACTCTCTCCCTTAACTGTAATATTATACATGAGACGACAGCTGCATCTTTAAAGAGTGGTGATGAGAATCAATGTTGGTAATTTAAAGAAAAGTCTAAATGCATATTTTCGGACCCCTCCTCAGTTAGTATTTTCGGACCCCTCCTCTGTTAGCTACTTGCATATATTTTCTTTTGTTGCCATTTGCTTAGGTGCCTGGATGTTATATGCATTTCCAGTAGTAGTTATATGTACATGTAACACAAGCCTATGGTTGTGTCCAGAATATTTTCCTTCATTTTCCTCATCGTAATGTGGAGTGTGCACGGTGCATATGGTGCTATTGATATAAAATTCTGATTTTTTTCCTTTACATCAAGGTCTCTCATGCTAAATTATTCAGAACAAGAAATTAAACAGTGGCGTGAAGCACGCAGGAAGAATTACCCATCAAATACCAACATTGAGAAGGTTTGTCTATGGGCAACAATTACATGATATTAAAGTTGTACTTATAGAAGAATTTTATAATTTAGACTTTACTTGCTGCAGAAATTAAAAGAGAATCTCACACAGCCGGAGGCCATGGATTCAGTTGCAAAGATGCGACGGCAGGTATTTGACTTTCACTGACAGCATTATTTGGAAGTTTCTCAATATTTCTTTACAAGTTAGATAACTGGCCATAAGTTTTGCCACAGCAACTAAAGGAGATATTGGCAAAACAAGCTGAACTAGGCTGTGAAGTTGCTGAGGTACCGTCTCATTACTTGTCAGATTCTGAGGTACAGACAGACGTTAGGCATCCAAATAGCAGGGGATTTGGTAAAAGAGGAAATTTTCGCAGCAAATTCAATCAATTTGATCGATTCTCTAAGAGACAGAGATCGGGGAACATGGATTCAGAAAATTCACAGAACCAAAATGGTCACATTAATAAGAAGCAGAGATGGGCCAATAATGGTTGCACGACTATGCAGCGAGGCCATACTAAAACGGAGCCATCTCTGTTGAAAAAACTGTTGAGTTCAGATATCAAAAGAGACAAAAGACATCTACTGCAGGTCTTCAGGTTCATGGTGATGAACTCATTCTTTGAAAAATCGCCCGAACAATCTCTGAAATTCCCGGAAGTTATCGTCAAGGAATCGTGTCATGGAAGTGAGATTCCAGAAGAGGAACATATGGCGGCATAAAAACCGAACAAATGATGATATGGTCTTTTGCCCCTGCTACTGTTTTGTTCTGGTGATTTTGACATGGATAAGGTCATTCCTTATTGTGCCCCAAAGCATATGCCATAAAAATTTTGTTGTGTTTTCATTATTTATCTAGGAATTTCGTTTTTGTTGCCGTCTGTGTGTAAAGAAGTTTGAAACCTGTACATGTATTTCTATTACCATTCTGAAAATTCTGGTGCACATGAATGTATGTGGTTCTTTTATGTATAGTTACATTTGTTCAACATTGTATTTGTTCCAAGTAAACCCCACATGTCCACACAGTTCTCCAAAACATATAATCTTCGATTATCAAACTGTTAAGGAAAAACATTGGGAGAAAGGCCAAACTTTTAAGATGATGGTAAATTCGTAATCACAATTTAGGATCTTGCACCGGTAGTCTAGTCGAGCTACATGCAAGAAACTGAAGCTTGATCTTCTCAAGTTCTCCCACAGCATCTGTCATGACAATCCTATCTTCAGGATTATCAGCACAACAACTCAATGCTAATTCCATAACAGAACATAGGCATCGTAACTTGTCATCATAAAACTTATCCTCCGAGCTCAGCAACTCTCCATCCACAACACGATCGATTATCCCGTCTCGTACAGAGTCACTTAGCCAACTCCTGAGGCTCGATTTCCCGTCAAACATTTCGTCCCCCGGCCGTACAGCAGAAAAAGTCTCCATCAGCATTATACCGTAGCTATAAACATCACACTTAGTCGACACAAGTCCCTCCAATCCGTATTCTACAATGACCAGATGTTACAACAATTAGTTTTCAACTTTTAGCAACAAAGAATACGAGCTAAGTAAAGATCACAATTCACAAAGTCGAAGAAAGGTTTTCCTCACCTGGTGCAATATACCCATAAGTTGCTAGTGTCTTGGTATGAGAAAAGCTCTGCTCCTCCCCCATCATTTTCGAAATTCCAAAATCACTCACATGCGAAACCATATTCACGTCTAGCAACACATTGCTCGGCTTCAAATCACAGTGAACAACGGCCGTTTGCAAACCACAGTGAAGATACTCCAAAGCACGAGCCACATCTAGCATCGAGTTCAACCTCTGCATTGTGTCTAGAAAACAATTGTCAGAATGCAGCCACCTGTCCAAGCTCCCGTTCGGCATGTACTCGAGCACTAACGCCTTGAAATCGAGGTTAGAACAACTTGTGATGACTTTCGTAAGATTTCGGTGCCTAAGGCTGCGTAACACCTCACATTCCACGTCGAAACTCTTGAACGAGCCTTCATGTTCCAAATCAAACACTTTAACTGCCACGGGCCCATCATTCTCAAGCACCCCTTTGTATACACGCCCGAAACTCCCTTGCCCGAGTAAGTTGTTTTTGTCGAAATTGCCGGTTGCTCGTTTTAGTTCGAGATACGATATTCTTCCGGGAGTAGTAAAAGAGTCTTGTTCTGTTGGAACCTTGTTTAATTTCTTTCCATGTCTCTTGACTATGAAAAATACCAAGGTGATGATGATGAGTGCAAAGGAGATGGCCAAAGCTATTGTGACAGCTAGGATAACGTTTTTTCTATCTTTTGGTATGTGAGAGCTTTTCTCTTGACACGGTGGGACTTGAAATCTCGGAGCCCCACATAGAGCTTCGTTGGACATAAACGATCGGCTCGTGAAGTTTTCGAAAGGGCCACCCGAGGGGATTTCACCTGCCAATGAGTTGTAAGAAAGATTCAAGCTTCTTAAATATACTAATGCTGCCAACGAGCTCGGAATTGACCCGGTGAGATTGTTATGCGAAAAGTCCAACATTTCTAAACTCAACATGTTCCCGGTCGACTCGGGAATGGATCCGGTCAGACTATTGTGTGCCAGAGAAAAGTTGATCAAGTTCTTTAAGTCTCCGATGGCATTCGGAATATTTCCCGACAAGTGATTGTACGAAAAATCTACAAATGCTGCAGCTTTCAGACTTCCTATCTCTGGAGATAGAGAGCCATTTAGCAAATTGGAAGATAAGTTTAGCTCCAGAAGTTTATCGAGCCTCCACAATCCCGAAGGTAAACCGAAACTTAATCTGTTCGAGTCCAGATAGAGCTGTCTCAGAGAAACACTATTATTGCCTATGCATTCTGGAACTGAGCCTGAAATTTGGTTACTGCTTAAATGAAAGGCTGCCAAATTGTTTAAGTTACAGATGCTTAAAGGTATGATACCGCTTATTCTATTACGGGCCAGAGATAGACCTTGAAGCATTCGTAAACCTCCGAGTTCAAACGGCAGAAGACCAGCTAAATCGTTGTCCGAAAGATCCAACTGTACTAAACTGCTCAGGTTTGTAATCTCACTCGGGATGCCACCTTTTATCGTACCATTAGAAGCAAGCATAATCTCCAATATCGACGAAAGGTTACCAATGGAAGGCGGAATAAAGTCGTTAAGGGGATTGTTGTGCACCCAAAACTCTTTCAAGAACACACAATTTGCTAAGGAAGTAATAAAGCTCAATCCTTTAAGGTTGTTCCCATGCAGGAGCAGATGTTCGATCAGTCTTAGATTACCGAGAGAATTTGGGACAGTGCCGGAAAAATAATTATTTCCGAGATTGACATAAGTGAGTTTAGACGCATTCGAAATAGATTCGGGTATAGCGCCGCTCAAAAGATTCGTCTCAAGTGATATCAAGTCCAGATTAGGCAGCCGGGAGCCGAATCTCATCGGGAGACTACCTGAAAGCCTGTTTGCTGTCACAGCGAGTAAAGTCAACGTCGAGATGTTGACTATTTCTTCCGGTATAGGACCCGTTAGCAAGTTTACTGCAAGATGAAGCTGCTCCAGTTGTTGCAGCTTACCGAGCTCTCGTGGAATTTCGCCCGTTAGCCTGTTGTGAAAAAGGCGCAACGTCTTGAGCTGCGTTAGATTCCCGATTTCTCTCGGGATGGGCCCACTGAAATTGCTGTCCCTTAGCGATAAAGCCTCGAGCTTCGAGCATTTGTCCAGAGACGAAGGTATCGGCCCGTACAAGTCATTGTAGTACAGATTGAGCTCTACAAGATTCGGGAGGTTCGAGCATAAATCCGAAGGCAGTTTGCCTGACACACCGCAATGCGACAAATCCAAGCTCACCAAAGACGAAATGTTGAATATCGAGTTCGGTATAGGGCCCGAAAAGATGTTTCTTTCCATGCTTAGTAGCAAAAGGTTACTAAGATTACCAATCTCCCCTGGAATTAAACCTGCATGAAAGTCACTTTGAGTCAGTTTATGGCTAGTCGAATGAAGAACATTTGAAACTCTTGATATGATACAAACCTGTAAAGTTGTTAGCACCAAGATATAGCATCTCCATAGTCGTGACATTCCCGATTCCCCTTGGGACGGGCCCGCTAAACCCGTTATTAGACAACGACAATACTCTGAGCTGCCGACACTCTCCCAAACCTTCAGGGACCCGACCGTAAAAACCGTTCCACGACAGATAAAGCTCCGTCAGCTTTGGCAAACGGCGGCACAAATCTTTCGGAAGCTCGCCCGACAAACTAGTATTCGTAAACGCCAGCGTCTCGACACCTGTCAAATTGAAAATCTCCGGCGGGACAGAACCCGTCAGCCGGTTGTTCTCCAGGCTCAGAACCCTGAGCCTCCCGAGCCTCCTGAGCTCCACCGGCAGCCTCCCTGTAAAAAATTAGACGACAGGTCCAATGTCTCGAGCACGGGCAGAAAACCGAGCCATTCGGGGATTTTTCCCGTGAAGCCGTTGGAGGACAGGTCGAGAAGCCTTAACCGGCGAAGACTCGCCATCTCAGCAGGCAGAGTGCCTCGGAAAGCGTTGCCTCGTAGGTTTAGAGATACAAGGAAGGAGAGGTTTCCCATGTGTTGGGGGATCGTACCGTCGAGTCCCATTCGGGGGAGGTTCAGGGCGGCGACCCGGATGTGTCGGGGCCCGCACGAGACGCCTATCCAGAGGCAGACGTCCGAGTCCCGGGCCCAGCTGGCGGTTAGGGGATTGTTTGGTCCCATGTTGATGATTTGGGATTTGAGTGCAAGAAGAGAGGATGTGTCTGTGGTGATGTTTGTAGTGATGGCCTTTGATGTGATGAGAGGGAAAGTTAACAGGCTGTTTAGTAGTATGAAGAGAATTGAAGCTGTTTGAGTTATAAGTTCCATTGAATTTTTAAACAGAGGAGGAAAGGTAACGGGCTGTTTAGTAGTATGAAGAGCTCTTACTAGTTTATGTGAAGTGAGTATAGAATTTTGTCATGGTTTGACACAGACATGGCCATTCAACGGTTCCGGGCCCGGCGAGGGTCCTCCACACCTTAGCCCGGGATCGAACCGAAAATTGCTTAGGGCCGGTTCATCGAACCGGACAGGACCGGCCCGCATAATAAAAAAAATAAAAAAATAAACACATGAGCCCAGCTTCCAGCCCGGCATGGCCCGGATCGCCGGTACCAAACAAAAAGTAGAGCAACTTGGGACCGAACCGCGGCCCTCACGGTCCGGTTAACCGAACCGGCCTTTAGGTGGCCGGTTAAGAACCGGTCTGGGACCGGTTCGCGGGCTGATTCGGCCCGTGGCCATGTCTCACACAGATCACTATCTTGATTCTTGACTCATGGCTGTTGGAGAAATGAAAGGAGAAAATGGCTCCTTTTTTTATTTATATATTTATATATATATATTATCTTTGTTTGGAAATTATTAATAATTGATAAATTTTGAAAGGTTAAAATATGAGAAAGAGAAGTCAACAATGCCATATAATATATACTTTTAAGATTATTTTGAACAGTTCAAACTTGGAAAGTCTGTCTTTTGGACCCATATTTGGTGCGATAATTGAACCAATAAATGCTTTAATTTTGTATTTAGTAGTCCGGCCTTTGACTAATTGTTAATTTTGTATTTAGTAACTTGATTTTGCTATGAAGACAACAATTAGCTCTATTGGACTCAACCTTCTATATACGACAAATAAACTTGGTTAATTTTGTTGACTAATTATTAACTTATGTTAAAATCGAAATAACCACAGCAGCTCACCGTATTTATATCTCGGTTCGATTCTTTTAAAAACCGGTTTTCAAATTACCCGACCAATTCCAATTTATAAACAAAAAATAAAAAAATTAAAAACTAAAATTAGGAAAAAGATTGCAAAATGCATGTCATGAAAGCTGATAAGATTTAGCTTACGTATATTTTCAACCGAAAAATACATTCTCAACTTCAATCCGAAAAATACATTCTCAACTTCAATTTAAAGTTACTTTCTCAACTTCAATTTAAAGTTACTGGAACATGAGACGGTGATTTCTTTGTCAACATGAGCCAGTGAAGAATTCTTCTTAAAAAAAAATTGGAATTTAATAAATATAAAATAATTTATTTATAGATTATAATTTGTACACATGCAAAATATTGAAATACATTTTTGTATAATAGGCCAAATTTAATTTTTCTTATGTAACTCTAAAAATATTTTATAAAGATAGTATGACTTTATTGACAAATTCTTATTAGAATGTTGGTAAATATATATATATATATATATATATATATATATATATATATATATATATGGGCTGGTTTCAAATAAAAACTATGTTTGGTGTGAAAACCGTGAGAACTATATTTGATGTTATTGTTAATTGTGTATGATGTTATTTTTAATATTGCATGATGCTATTATTTTCACAAATGCTAATAAAAAATTTGTTGTTGTTTTTAATAAAATACATCATGTCTAAAAATAGCACTAAGACACAACAAATCATAGCAATACATACAATTAAAAATAGCGGTTCTCACATTTCTCACGTTAGGACTTGGTTCTCATTTAAATCATTAGCACCAAAGCTAAAGCAAGCAAAGCTATCCAAAAAGCAAGCACTAGCAAGTGCAAGCACAAGAAGTACTCGTCTTCATCCTCGTACTCCCCACGGAGGGGTGCAGACACATCTCAACTTCGAGCATGTCTTCATCCTCGTACACCCCACCGAGGGGGTCAACTTCGAGCACTATTTAATCTATTTCCGATACTAGCTCGACGAGTTCTACTTCCACTAATGCCACGAGCTCGTACTCTATTTCCACTCTTTCTGATACTAGCTCGACTTCAGATTCCGATTCTGGCTGGAGCCCCGTGAAGCCAGCCTCGGGCCCCCCTCCAGCCTCTCGTCATGGCAAGAGCGTACGGTCGGTCCCCAAGAAGAAGTCCCACAAGAAGTCTCGTCATGCCGCCGGTTCCCAAAAGAAGTCCCACAAGAAGTCTCGTCATGCGGCCGGTCCCCAAAAGAAGTCCCACAAGAAGTCTCGTCCGGGTGCCGTTTCTGCTTCCTTGGATGCTGAGCGTGAGGCTGGTCCCCAAAAGAAGCACCCCAAGAAGTCTCTTCCGGGGGGCTGTTTCTGCGTCCGTTTCTAGCTCGGGTGCTGACATTGGGTTCTCACTTTTTTCTTTTTCTTTTTTTTGGGGGGCCTCCATTTGTCTTACTATTGTTATTTGATATATTGAAGGTTTTGTCAATGGCTTTTCATATAATGTAAGCATCTAATATTTATTTTTATTTTGCTGTTGGTGATTTGATTATCTTAATATTCTACGGACACATAACAAACAAGATGTGAGAAGCAAACTTCCGATATCACATAACTGATTCCTTCGTTAGGTTTTTACGCATGTTGATATGATATCTTCCATTCTTACAGTCGCGATTAACCAACCTCCCTCGTTTAATATGAAAACAAAGCAAGCAATGGACAATTTACTTTTCCAAGATAAAGTCCCCAAGAAAAGCACATCACAGTAGTGCCTTTATGATTTATGCACCCCACGAACAAGAATGCAAGTAGAATGGTTATTCGGCCTCAAGAGCTTCAATCTCGTACCTGACTTCTTCCAAGTGTTGGTTAATTGCGAGGATTGTGTCCTGCACGCCTTTAATGGCTTCCTTGAGTGCATTTTCATACTGAGCATCGGCCTCTGCCTCTTCTGTGCCAGACGCTTCGGTTATCTGCTGGATGTGAAGGCACTCATGTCCCGTTGAGTGTCTGAATCGGCAATTATCATGACTCACCAGACGTTCTGAGGGCCGACCGGCTTTCTTCAGCACCTGAATCGTAGCTGTCTGAAAGAAAATGTAAAAAACCACAAGTGCCTTTAGGTCTTCACTAAGCACTTAAAGTTTTGATAACCAAAAGAAGCAATCCTTGCCTCATATCAATGAGAACACAAACTGATCTAAATGTAGAGGTTGAAATAATGGATGCAAGAATTTTTAACTTGTTAATTTACCAATAATAGCCAGAAATTATCCTAGTCTAACAAGCATTTACTTGCAGATGTTATGCATATGCAAGAGCTATCAGAGGAAAAAAGAAAACTAGAAACTGTCAATTCTTTTGGTCCACACATACACCCAAAGGGAAATAAGTAAGAATGAGAATAACTACACATTAGATTAAAGAAGTTTTCCTTTTAATTTTTTTAATGTATATGTATCCTATCCTGATTTAGATAACGGACGTTGGACAATTTTGTGAAATCACGAGAAAAGTCACCAAACAATGAACATGATGCAACCATAGAATAGAAAGCTCAACAAAGTGAAACTAGATGAAAGCATTGTTCAATTTTCCCAAAAACAACAATGCAAAATTATAAAAGCCAGCCCAGGAAGACATACTAAGTTCAATTTCTCTTTTTCCTGCGCTTGAACTGATCGGAACAAGTGTGCTAGATCCTCTCTGCAACTATCGGGACTTGCGAATAGTGATTCCAATTCAAGTACCTACACACATTTGAATCCATTTACAGGTAAATAGACCCACAATATCAGTCATACCCAACTCTAAAACAGACAACTCCTCAGTTGGGAACTTGTTCGTAAGCAAGATAAAGCTTTTCAAACAGAATACCGCAACCCGACACTTTTTAATATTCGACCCTTTTTTATTTGTCGTTCTAATAAGCTTCTTGTCGTTCGTTGTCGATTGCTATTAATAGCAAAACCTACGGTCATTATGTTTTCACGGTTGTCGATTATCTAGCTGACACTAACCTGCTTCGAACAATCGTTGAATTCGACTGTTATCTCACTGCAAAGCTGCTGGTAAGCAATCTCACCCCCAGAAACCATATAATCCTCAAATCCCCTACCATATACAAAGAAATAAGAGCGTGAGGATAAACCAACAAAACACACACACACACACACACACACACAACTGCAGCAAACCAAAGCAGGCACCTTCAAAGTTCAAACAACAATTAAACAGTAACTAAAAAACAAAGAAATCATCAACATTAGATTTTATAGACAATGAAAACCATAAAAATCAAATCTTTTGTGCGTCGGAGGACGGTGGCGAAGGTTAGAATGAATAGCTTTGCAATTGCTCCCAAATAGGAACAAATCAAAGGTTACAAGACAGCATGGTGATACTCACACACACACACACAAACACACACACACAAACAGGCGAAGTGTACCGTTTAAGGCGGGCATAAGCAAGGGCACGGCGTTGCTGTACGGCGAGGAATCGACGGAGCAATTTGATTATATTTTCCGATGAACTGCCGATTTTTAACGCTTTAACCTGCTCCTCGGTTTGTGACAGGGAAACCTTCTCAGAATCCTCCATTCCGACAAATTCCGATCCTCGTTTTCTTTTCAAATTTTTGTTTCGTTTTCGATGTTTATACCGATTTCATGTACTATCTTTTTTATGCTGGATTACTTTTTGTTAAAAATGGTGGCTTGGAAAAGAATTCTAATATTAGCCAATACTTTCGTTGACTGCAGCATTGTATTTACGGGAAATGCCACAGTCCCGTTACGGAAACATTTCGTCTGGATCTGTAATCGTTAAATTCGACGGAAGAATTCGGTCACAAATAATCGTTTCTTTGCTTCAAATCAAGAGTCATTCATAATAACAAATATAAGTAATTAAATAGTCTGTTTTATTGAAATCCTTATAAATTAATCTTAAGAGATATTTGGTGGTAGAGTTTGATAGTTATATTTTTTTTACATCAAAATAACCAATTATAAAATCATATAAATTACAAATAAAGGGATAAATAAATTGACTCCTAATAATTTCTTAGAACATTTTATATTGTAGTAAATGAATACCTTAAGATTTTAGAAAATTTTATAATTTCCAAGATAAATAAACTAAAATTCTTAAAATTTAATATTTAAATACTACCTATTATTTTTAATATATGTCGTTTTGAGAAGTTGCACATTAATTAAGAATATTTTTTTTTTGTCAATAATAACCTTATTTAATGAAGATATATATGAATGTTTTGAGAAAAAATGAAGAGTGAATATGAAAAGACGTAATATATTTATTAACTAAATGATGGTAGTAATGGAAAAATATGTACAAAAGATCCAAAACGACATTTATTTAATTAATAGTTGATAAAGCTAAAATGACACTTAAAAAAATAGGAGGGAGTAATAATTAATGAGCACATCCTGTATATTTATTGTTTCGTTTATCAATGTTTCTCAATATACTTTCAGAAAAAATTTCATTTGCACCAATTCCCCGTGTATACATAATTTTATTAAGTGCTTAAATTAAACAATCTTAAAACATCTCAGAATGCTATTACTTTAAAAGATAATGTTTTTTAACTCATATCAATTCATGAATGCAATGTTAATCACATAGGAATAATGCTAAAGGCTGAAAATTTGAATGAAACTAGTATTTGCACTAGTTTGATGGGAAGTTATTTGTATAGGGACTAATCAAAATAATTCATTAATACATGAACAACAAAAATTTAAGTCCAATATAAAGTGAATTGATGAGCCATCACGTTTAACATATTGTTCTAGAGCGTTAGACGCCCCCTAGGCACTCGACCAGCACTTAACGTCTAGAGCGATATTAAATACCTTATTTTTTTATTTATTTTCATTATCTACAAAATAAAATTACATCAACTTATAATAAATTAATACACCTAAGTCCAAATAATGTTAATATATTATAACAAAAAAATGATAACAAAAATAAATTAATTAGTTTAAAAAAAAAAGCTAAAAAAATACAGTTGAGCCCGCCTAGTCGCGTGACTAATTTTTTCAGCCAATTTATACAAATCGGAGGCAACTGGGCAGCACCTAACACCTACTGTAGAACAGTGGTTTAACATATGTAAGACATTAGAAAGTGTGTTCAACATTGTCTAACATTAGATGTCATTCACCTCATTATGAAAGAACTAAGATATATTGGCGAATACATTAGTAACACACTATTAAAAGTTAGATATGAATAATTTTGTATAATGTCAAAAGTCACGGAGATTTTCGACCATGGAGTTTTCACACTCATAATCACATTACATATTCGTTTCAATATCGTGCAGCTACAATCTAAGTTTACTAAAATACCATGTTTTCAAGAAAAAAAAATAAAGAATCGACATGCTGGATGGATTTAGATATTTCGACCCCTTACGCTGAAACCCGATGGAGGCAAAAAATCCGAAAGCCCTTAAACCATGTTAACGTATACATTAACTCGTCTTTGAATGATAAAAAACCACCGTGAAGGAAGTGTTGTTGCGTCTGACCATCACTTTGCCTTGCCACAATAATCTTGGACGAAAGTTTGTACAAGAAACTATGGTCACCGAACCCCAGTCGTTTTTGTACTATTTTTCTAGTTCGCATAGCTACTGCAATTCTATACGTTTGTGGTTTTTTTT